GGCCAGCCAGTGAGGGCTGGAGGCAGGGGGCCACAGCAGAACATCGTCCCCTCTGTCCCCAGCGCCCTCCCTGTCTCTACCACACCTCACAGTGCTTGCCAGGGTTCATGGGGGAGCCCAGGGGGCAGCCAAAATGTTCAACAAAGTCCCGGGAGTTGCTGAGGGTGCCAATGACACGGTACTTGTCAGGGCTGTGGGGGTCAGTCACGAGCCCTTCGTGGGAGCTTTCGGGTGTCCGGACAGAGCACCAAACCTGCCGGAGCAGAAGCAGCCTCAGCGATGGGGGACAGAGACACCCCCCCTGCTGCCCCAGGCAGGATGGGGGGCTATGGGGTGTCTCCGAGGGACCAGGGAGGGATGGGGAACCCACCACCCCACTCTGCCCTACCTGCGCAAAGCCCACGAAGAAAAGCTGGTGGTTGGTGAGCCCCAGGGCTGGCAGGCGCTTCTCCTCCCCGTTCTTCTGCAGCCAGGACTTGTACGCCTGTGGGAGAGGCACCTTGAAGCCCCAGAGAGGGATAGACAGGCAGGGGGGTCCACATCCCCCCGGGATGCAGGCACTCACGTTGTAGGCTGCCTTGAGCCCACCGTTGTCGGCGATGTTCTCGCCCAGTGTCTGCCGGCCGTTGACCTTCTCACGGTGGACAGTGTAGCGCCCGTACTGCTCTGTCATGCACGCTGTCCGGTTCTTGAAGGCCTCCAGGGAGGAGTTCTGCCACCACGGCCGCAGGTTGCCCTCCTTGTCATACTCTCGCCCTGCAGGACCAAGCCATGGGGCGGGGTGGAACCAGGGGACCCTGGCCTCCTGCAGAGCCCCTGCTGCAGGGGGTCCTGAAGCAGGGTAGGGTGTGGTGGGGACAGCCCCAGGGGACACCATGGGACCTGGCACCTTGGGTCCATGCCCAGGGGAGATGGTGTCCCCCAGCCCCTGCTTCAAGCAGGCTCTGGCTGGAGCTCAGCTGAACGCTTGGGTCCCCAGCCATCTCTCAGTGCATCCCTGCTGTCCCAAGCTGGATTTGTCACCCCCATATTCCCCCATGGACCCCATCTCGGCTCCAGGGCTGTGGTGAAGGTGCAAAGCAGAGTGGATGTGAGAGGGACCCATCCCATGCCCCACGGGGAGGAGGATGAGGAGGGGGCCGGGGCTGCAGACACCGTGTCCTCACCAAGCGGATGGA